TGCGGTTGCGGTTGCGGTGGCGGTGTCGATGATGGTGAATAGCTAACATTGCTATTAGTGGTAGTGGTAACAATTGAAGTGGCACTGTTAGTTGTCGTTTGTACATCATAGGAAGTAGTGCTAAACGTTTTAATGGGATCGGTGCTAGGTGCTTGAAAATCGCTACTAGGTGATTTAATATAATCGCTAGACGAATAAGGATTGAAGGAAGTTATACTCGACGATTGTCGTCGACTAGCCGATGGGCTTGACGACTTAACCAAACAATCACTGGACGAGGAAAATGAAGAGGTCGTTGCACTCGATGCTTCACTCTTCTTTACCTTATTCATTTTGTCGCCAGCATTTGCTTGGTCTTTACTGTTCGTTTGACCTTGATCGCGTGCCTGATCTTCACATTCTTTCATTATCTGATCGATTTCCTCAATTACTGAGTTCGGCTTTGTTACAACTCTATGGCTGCCGCGATATTCTGTAAGATTAGAATTACTTAATTCTTTTAGAGGCTGGCGATTTTGCTCAATAGTTTCAACATTACAGGTTGACACCATGTTACGTTCTCCCACTCGCACATTATCATAATCGGTTGGTTCAGCCAAATCCTTGAGTTGACGCATACAACGTTTAGCTATATCATCTATAGTTGAAGTTTGCATGCTTTCCAAACTTTTCATTAACGTTTTATCGTTGATTTTCGCCGTTTCATTGACGACCATATCGTTCAAAATTTTTTCGCAAACTTTATTGGCAGCTTCAGAAACTTGATCTATTGCTTTAATCAATTTATCTTCTTTGTGCAAATTCTTATGACTCAGCTCTTCTTTTCCAACCGGCCAAGCATCCAATAACATTTTGCTACATTTTTTGGCCGCTTCAGAAACTTTTTCAATCTCTCTTAATTCTAAATCTAAATTTTTCTCATCTGGCTGCGTATTTTTCGGCTTAGAAGCAGTAATTAAAGCCTCCTTTCTTAGCTCCTTTAGTTCTTGAGTTAATTTAATGCTACTCTCCTGAGCATCTTGAGCTATTTTATTTAATGCCTCTTCCATTTGAGATGTCGTAGAACTTAAAGGCTCCGGAGTTATTGATTTTCGAGGCAACGGTGTAGGTTTTGACGACTTTTCATCTTTTGCCACTGGATTTCTTAAAACCTCTGGTAGCTGACATATAGCGCCCCCTTGACTGGGATGCCGGAACGGTACAGTCGCTTTTTTTACAAGTTGTACCTCCTGTTCCTGCTCTCTGAGACTTTGCAATAATTTAAGAGTGGATGGTATATCGTTGGGCGAATTATTTTTATGTATATCCGACATACTACCTGATCGATCAACGTTAGGCGCCCACTCGTAGTATAAAGACAAAATGTCACCCCCTGAGGGTTTAGCGGCATCCCTTTGTATTAAGGAATAGATATTGGCTGACTGTGTACGGGTAGCTCTGTTCTTCTTTATCAAACTTTCCGTAGGATATACGAAACGTTCTTTTGATCCAGGCGGCTCTTTTCTTAACGTTCTCACAGCCAAATCATCTTTTACCACGTCTGGAGTTTTACTATTTTTAACACATACAATATCTCCACCAGATTCAATATGTAAATAGTCAGTTTTCGCTGCAGGCACTATTGGACCTAATGGTATACCAAAAGGCGGCTGTTTTTCGACAGTCTTATGCTGTAAATTTGCCAATTTAATGTTGCGATAGGCTACATCATCTCTAATAGGATCAGGTTCTCCAGTCGGTGAATCTTCCTCTTCATACTCATCGGCATGAGCTAAAGCAAACTTTTCGAAATCGGCAGTTGTGGAAGTATTTTCCTTTTTCTCATTTTCATCAGTCAAACCCAAAGATTTGTAGATGGCTTCCAATTCATTTATGGCTTCCTCCAGATTAGTTGGTTTCTTACGTGGAAAACTTATTTGCGGAATTCCGTGGAGGCCAACTACTGTTCTCTTTGACGGTAAAGGCGTATCTAAAATCACGGGAGCACTGTGTTGCTGTTCATTCTTTTCGGTTACGGAAGCGTCATAAATATCAAGCTTAGTCAAGCTTAAATCCGCGCTAGATCTTCTTTGATAACGATTGGGCATTGAATTGCTTTTATTCACATCCTTATTACGTATTTCTACGCGGGTTTTTTCATTATCCAACGATGGTTTAATAAACAAGCTACCACAAATAACACTGTCTACCTCATCAGTACTCGTTTGAAGCGTTGCGGTGGAAGTCGCGGAAACTTGTGGTTTCCGTTTAGGCTTATAGACTTCTGAATACATGGGTATCGGATAAGAACGTAATTCAGTTACTCTTGACGAAGATACTGAACGTGGTTTCGTCGAACCATTCAACATGGTAGCACGCTCTGCATGTCTACCTCTATTAGCAGGTGATTGATTTTGCACGACAGCTTTATCTAAATGCTTCCAAAACTCGGAAGCATTTAATGTTGGTGGTGAACTGGGCAGGCCGCTTTTTGTCGTACGTAAAATCCCCGATGAAGGGGGATCATTCGTTTCGTCGGGCATGCTACTTTGATTCAATAAATGGATGGGTTTTCGAGAACGCGGAGCAGCATCGGCCACGTAATGAAACTCTAAACCATTAGGCGAAGACGTTTTCTCGGATTGATCGCCATGCTTGCCCTGACTTGTAAATCTGCAGGTCCTTTGATTTTGCTTCACTTGCGGTACATTCAATGAATTTATCGACTGATAATGTGATGTTTGTGCCCAAATTTTATCGTCTGAAACACAACGACCGTTTAAACCGTTAGCTGGCATAACTGGTATGCCAACTTGGTCAAATGCATAAGAAATCGGACGTAAGTCACCGTAGCTGGCATTTTGCAGGTGACCTGTAATATTAACACGCCTGGTTGGATCTCGGGGAGGCGGAGGAGGTGGCAGTAATTTGGTTTGCTGTTTATTGTTAACTTTTTGCAAGTGAATATGACTATCATAGCTTATGCTTCTCTTGGCATCATTGACTGAGTTTTGTAAGTTCTTTGGTCGTTGCTGAACATGACTCCATTGTACATACGGAGCCACATGCTGCAAACTGCTTGTATTACGCAGCTTGCTATGCTGATATCCATTGTTAGAATTGATAATTTGAAAATTTGGTTTTAACGCCTTCAAGGAAGCATGACTTTCCTTAGAAGCTTGGTAGATAGATAAAGGTACTGGTTGAGTTTTCCATTTATGTACAGAAGTGGGTGGGGGCGTAGTATAATTAACGGGTATTTGACCGTTACTATTCTCACTGTCACGTGACAAACGTTTATAATAGCGTTCATTGCGAGCTGCGCGACTCTTTCGATTTTGATTATTGTTGCATCCAGCCTGACTACCGCTGTACGCGCTCTCATCGCTTCGATGCTTTGAAAATGTAGCTGAATTAAGTGAAGTAAGCTCTTCTTCACTCGAGCTGCAAACGATTGCATTACCTTGGAAATTAGTAATCGGCGGGCTTTTATAATCTGAACGATGTTTCTGAATCGAACGGGCTGAATGTCTTTCTAAAGAGTTAGCTGAACGGCTCATATGTGATCGATTATGATGATCTTTATTAATTATTGTAGCATGTGGCAGGTACTGTTGTTGTTGGTGTTGTTGTTGTTGGTGTTGTTGCGATTTTAATTGCGTTGGCTGTTGTGGCTGAGCCTGTTGATTTTGATAATAATGTTCTTTGGGGACTGGCATTATTTCCACGGGCAGGAAAAACTCAGTCTCCGCATTATGACCATAATGTTGTTTATCATTTAAAAAGCTTTGATTAACAACTACTACACGATCTAGTTCGGCGCCGTTGCTCACTTTACCACTACCACGATTTGCAGTTTTCTGTTTTTTCGTTTTGTTCGTTATTGTCGCGGCGTTGGCGCGTGAATGTTTTTGCGATGGCGAAAAACCGGCCCTACGATCATCTTCGGTTGATGATTCCGATTCGATTTCCTTCTTGCGGCGAAATAAACGACCAAAGGACCATTTCTTATTACCGCCACTCGAGGCATGCGACATTTGCGAGGTGCTTAAAGCGCTCGTCGTCGCATCCTTCTTATCCTTGTGATAGAAACGATCCATTATATTGTGGTCGACAATTCTTTGATTTACATCGACTATGTCGATTTCTCGTTGATAATCGTCGTATTGAAAACGATTAATGTGTTCGTCAGATATTGGAATTTCTTTAGGAAGTGGTAATTGGGGACGCCAAGAAGTTTGAACAGTCTAAAAATAAAAGCAAAAAAGACGAAAAAAAAAAACTTACATTACTTATGCAATATATTTGTATTAATAAAATCATTCTGTGATCTAAGCTCTTAGGGTTTGAAAATAAAAAACTTAAAAATAGGTTCCATCAAAAATGAAGACTGTGCGCCTATGCTTTCAACACAATAATGTTCCTTCTATTGTTTGTTATGCTCATATGCTTATCATGTTGTTATATGTGAATGCTAAACATTCTCTTAAATAATTTTTCCTTTTTTCATTTCATTGTTTACCCAACCATATAACCAATGAATGATGAAAACCATATGGCACGAAGACCTAAATCGATTCATACACACGAATGACATAAAACATTTGCGATAATGCTTAACAAGGGAAGCACAAATTTTTCATATTAAATTAATTAAATTTTAATAAATAAACGAATAAGGGAGAGCAACTATGCTCGCTAGTGTTCGCTTTGTCAGGGATCTATCGCCCACTGCTAACCATCTAAGCTAATAGATAAAGATTATAAGATACTTTGTTCTCATTCATCGATTGCTTTAGGTTTTAAGTTCAATTAAATTTAGTCCGTATTCGCGGGTTCGAGTCTCAATGCGGTAGAGTTTCCTTTGGTCGTTTGCAGTTACAGTGGATGCTTAATCGCTAAAGGCATAAAACTTACTGATTGCGCACCCACCCACTAGACTGCTTTCGCTTTCCTATCCCTTTCTTCTCTTACTTCTTACCGAACGCCGACGTATTACGCGAATAGCGGACATACCCTAACTGATTGATCATAATAAACATAAAACAAAGCAAAAACGAAATAAATAAATTCTTTTTAATTACAAACTTAATCTCCGGATGTCAACTAAGAAATTATGCTCAAGTTTTAAGTTTCAATTTTATTTTTTTGCAAACATGATTGCCCGAAACCCACACAAAAACGCACAGTAATAGCGGGTCAAGATCTTATTCTGACGAAGGTTTTGATAAAATCGTCCGTTTATTGATGTATTAAAAATAAAATTTCTCCGCTACGTTCCGTTCCGTTCCTATATCATATTTCATAATTTCGTGATACATAGCATATTTCGTTGAATTATGAATTCTATTACTAACAACGGCTTACAATATTTATTTAATAATGCTTGCGGGCATAAAGTAATTTATTTACTGAAATTAGAGAATTTCTCAGAAGTTGCCTTCATTCACTTTCACTATTTCTTTACAATTATTATGCGAGTATGCTTTTCTTTGTCGCGTTACGGGTGCACTGTTGTGCGCCCGATAAAACCCTTGCTTATAAAGCAAGTGTTCCAATAAGCACAACTAATACTTTATTTCTCAATACGTATTCGATTTCACTGTTTATTCGTAATCAGAAATTCTGTGTCAATCCTCACCGACACGAACAGGTAAAGCATTATAAAATTATTATTTGCAAAATACACCGAAATTCTATTCGCAACAAAATTTATCCAAATTGATTTTATGCCGACGCATCATTATACTCTACACTATTCGTTTTACCGGATATGCTAAGTTTATGAAATTACAATGTGTAACGGTCAGATGGAGTCGAGATAGACTCTCCGATCGATTCAGTATGTTTTTTTTTTTAATAATTTAAGCTTATCTATTTGTCTGTCCGTCAGTCTGTCACTCTTTTCGCCTTAACTCTGTCTATATACCTTGATTCTTAATCAGTAGTTTGTGCAATTTTCTAACAAGATTTTGTACAAGCTTCAACGCTATTGAAAATGTATTGGATTGGGCCATTTTTGCGAACAAAAAAAAAAAAAACAAAAATTCCAAATTTTAACCTTTGTTGACAAAAAACGAAAGAAAGCAGCATTTTCGCTTGGAAAATATATATGGGGAATTTGAGTCAGATGGGACTGTTTTTTGGAACTCCTTTGAAATAAAAACCGAAAAAAATCCTTTATGACAACAAGATGAAAGTTATAGATAGTTATGTTAGATATTGTTTTAGAATAGTTTTGAGGCTTTGACCACATTAATCCATTTTGCGAAGATCTTTACAATCCAAGGAACCTTTGAAAATGAAGACTTCATGTCTAAAGATCTACACTATGTTCCTCCTATGTGATAGAAGGGTTCTCATCATGGTACCAAAATTAAATTTTTGGTAATCTAAGACGAAAACAAGCGAAATATTATATTCGCCGTAGTGTTGTAGGGTAATTTAATGATCGGCCCTATTCGGTTAGAATATTTGTTTATTAAACATTTATATAATGTTCATAATAATACTTCAGATGTCTACGAAATAAACAAAATTTATTTATTTATTTATTTATTTATTTATTTACATGATATTCTTCTTAAAATATTTATTTCGAATGAATTTCTTACTTTGTCTCATCCATAACGGAAAAGGAAAGAATTGAAACAGGAAATGTAGTTGTATTTCTTTGTTATGAGATACAATTAAAACCCGAAGATAAGTAAAAAGTCGAACGATTTTGTTTATTTATTTATTAAGTATCTAAAAAGCCTTAGCCCTATTACATAGTTACTGGATACATTTCAATTGCGAAAGGCAACTAGAACAAAGGTGAATATACAAGTCAATTAGATGACTGTAAAAGTAATCTCTTTGCTCCATTAACTCTCAGCAACAACAAAATATGCATTATGTGCTTAGAAATGGGGACAATTTTCTCCTGAAAGTATTCAAGAAAGGATCGAAAATTTTCAGACTCGATGGCAACGCATTCCACGGACAATAGCAAATATGGTATTGTTATATAAGGGTTTTCTATTCGTTCTTGAATAACTGTAGTCGTTCTATTCGAAGGCTGGACAAGAGAATCGAGATCGAATGATTTTTCACCGATTTTCCCTTTATACCTTTTTCGAAGGAAAAAACCAATATTTTGGATACGGAATTCAGATAAAAAAATCTATTGATTTTTTTCACCCAACATTTTATATCATTTTCACAAAAGTTATATGTGTTGTTTCACATTTCTAATGAACCCCCGTACCCAAGTGTCAAGTATTCACAGTAGCAAGAGATAAATCAAAATTTGCACAATTTCATCCCATCAGCATAACATTTACTGAAAGTCTTACTTCATTAAGCTTTTTTTTTTTTTTTTTTTTTAAATTTCTACATGAGTATGGGAAGAAGCTTAAAGAGAAAAAACATCCTACACAGGCCAGAACAGGTTCAGTAAGTCTTATTAGCTGAATGGAAGGGTTCATCAATGAACATAGTAGCAAGATTTGAGTCTGCGGCAAAGTGTTGACAACCCTAAAGAAAAAAAAAATTGACATCTGACAGTTTAGGGAAAAGTTAGTAAAAAGGAAGCATTAAACGCGAGAGCAAAACCTTTTCATTGTTGAGCAATATTTTGATTGGAATGTTGACGTAACATCGTCAACTTTGAAGAGGGTAATTGGCACCATTCGATTTCTTCTCCCCACAACACCCATGACATTGAATTAGGCGATTCAATCTTACATCAACGATTTGAGCAAAATGGTCATGGAAAATTTCGATAAAAGAAAAAACGTATGTATATGCTAGCAAACCCGTGCAGTCCAGTAATTCGATACCGAAATTTTTTTACCCATCACCCATACCCTATACGAAAGATTGAAGAAAATGAAAAATATAAATTTGTATATTTATGAGTAGAAGAAAAACTCAAATGTTGATACATTATGATAATAGGTAGGTAGGCGTGTTCATTTTCTCCCATTTTCGTACGGGTACTGCGGCATCGCCCATAGAATATATGTCGAAATTTTTCTAAATTTATCTGCTATAGTTTATTTTTAATTCTTTTTTTAATTCTTTTAGAAAAAAGGTGAGGTGTTCTCAGCTTACGTAGTACTTTAGACGTGTCCTTCGATCGGATTAGCCCACATTTTACCAACGTGCGTGCAAGAACTTCCAAAGGAATAAGAGAATGTTTACGACAGATGTTACAACAACGGACAGACGGACAGACGGACAGACAGACATGCTTAAATCCATTCAGAATTTGATGCTGATCAGGAATATTAATACTTTGTGGATTGTTTGAAGCATCTTTCTTTCTAGGCGTTGCAAGCGTAAATTTTAAGATACCTTTGATACGCGTGAAAGGGAGAAGACGCGGAAAGTACAAGTCCGATATGAAATAAAATGATGTATTTATTTTTATCATAGGAATGACGATTCTGTTGCATACATACATACAGTCATTAATATAATTTTGTTTTGGCAAAAAAATCAAATCTCATTTTGCAGATTATTCGAATACCGTTGATAAATTCTGAAGGTAAAAGTACTCAGATGGTAATCGCCATAACCTTTCAACGCGTGGGAAAATTCCATAATTATGGTTAGTCATAATGAATACTAAATGAAAAGACTTCTTATAATGAAAGAGTTGAGAGCTCAAATTAGCGAAGAGTTTAGGGCTTAACTAAACAAGCCATGTAGTAATTAAGTGTTAAATAAAGAAACAACAAGAAAAATTATTCTCTTTAACTTTGTGCTCTCGATGTAATTAAATTTTAACTTCTAATGTTAAAAAAAAAAAAAAACAACTTAAAACGACTTAAGCCGACTTTGTGCATACCCAACACCCAACTATACAATGCAATGTATTTTGCCAAATCAGATAATTAGGAAAGCAATGAAATCGTGAAAACCTATGTGAATAAGTCGTGAAAGGAATTAAGGAAGTGTGCAACTTAACGCTAGGGATCAGAAGCTACTCAATCATATCTCCCTGTCAAGATTGAAGCTCTCCGAAATATGAACTTAAGTATTGCTATTAGTTAAACACAATATATGCTATAGGTATCGATCTAAAAATTACTATGAATGCCGGTTCAAGCGATCAAGTTTTTGCTACGCCCCTAATTCGCAAAAGTTTCACGTTTGTTAAGGGATTCACCTCGCAATCAAATATAACCTAAACTATTAAGTAGATCTTAAAGCTACTTTCTTAACATATAGTTCAGCATTTTTGGCTATAGCGTCAAAT